AGTCTAGCAAATAAAATTTTGATATATTTTCATTCATGTTGTACATCCCTACTGGCTACTTGGCAATGATTATCCATAACTAAGTTATGCACTATATCACAATGCCATAGCTCAAGTCCCACTTTCTCCTGTTCAAATGGTTTACCAATGCCAATATAGCAACTCTCCAAGCTTCCAGTCTTTGTAATGCACTATAGCTAATCATGACCTTTAACAGCAAGCAGGTTGAGAAATACCGTGCATCGAGATTACACTGCTGTAGTATATATTTATTAGGGGTTCTACTGTTTTGTCTCTCATGATATATGAAACATATTTCCCAACAGGCATACTGAGTGATTAGACAAGATTAATATTTTATTTTACTGCACCACAACTAGGGATGTAAAATCCCATTTAATCAGTTCACTGGTAAAATATTATGTTTAATCAGTTCACTGATTACACAGCCCAATTGAGGTGGAGTAGCCTCCCACCCACAGCATGGCCCAGCAGGCCTAGTTCTCCGCCATTCACAGGTGCAGCATGCTTCAGACACGTTGAACCCACCACAGGCAGAGGTCAATCTAGCTGGAATGGAGCGCTTCCCCCACACCGCCCACAGTGTGGTGGGCTACTCTGGCCCAGCATGCTGCAGCCCCCTGCCAGTGTTGGGGGAAGGGACTGCTCCAGCCCAGCTGGACTGCTGGTTAACCATAACTGGTAAGCATCACCAGTTAACTGTTCACATCCTAACTATAACGAAGTGTTAGTGTGGAAAAAATTATGCTAAATAATGAATACTTTGAGAAGAACAAGATGTCAACCAATGACTTAAAATTATAGTAACTTATCCTCCCTTAACCAAAATTGCTTTGTATTACAGATGAAAAAGAGGTATAGATTTCCTATGCAATTGACCATATAAACAACAGATTGGATGTTTTCAATGAATAATTGTCTTAGAGAAACTTCAAATTACAGATAAACAATATAAGGGGAAAAATCATTAAAAGTTAAAGCATGCTGCCTCCCACTGTGAAGAAGGTGCTCCAGGCTTATCTGCTGCTACTAATTATACAGGGGATTGATCAATGCCCCCATGGTTATTTTCCTTCAAAAAAGAAATAGGCCTAACCAGTAAACAACGACCTGCATCTGAATGGTGCTAATCAAGGTAAGCAATAATGAGCTAAGGGCAATTAGTAATAAAATGCCATTTTACAACCAAATCAATAAGATCCAATGCTTACAGTGGCTAACATGCAATCGAGTCCCATTCTGGCACTCTGCAAGGCAAGGAAGCCAAGCCTGGCACTGCATTCGGGTGCATTACACCTGCAGAGGCATTCTCCGAGTCCTCGCACAAAGCCAGGCAGAGTGGCGACGCGTTTTAGGCAGTCGGCAAGGCAGATGCATCAGGGAACACCTGGCC